GAGGTTTAAGCTAACATTAAACTTTGAAATGAAGCCCCAAGTTTGGATGGATTCTAGCTTTTTAGACCTGATGCATATGTTATCTATAAAAGATTTGCATACAGCTGAAAAACGGGTCAAACAAGAACGGTATCAAACTATAGAGCTATACATGCCGGATCTTTCTGGTGCCCAGAGATAGATAGTATTTTTTTTTTCTTAAAGTACAACTACTGTTTTTCAACCTAAAAATGTAACAAATCTCTTGTAGTATACATTCAAACTTTTTGTTTCAAAGAGCCATGTTTCTTCTGCAGATCTAAACTACTTTTGTCTAACTTGACCAAAGGTGGAAACTGCTCTTCAATTTTGTACATTAAACCTCAAATAATTTCAAACTGAACTTTTCTCTTTTTGAGGGTCCAAAACTCTTTTGAATCTACTATGATTTCCTCATTCTCTTTTAGAGAAAAAAAATCAAACTGCCTCAATGACAATATAGCTCAGTTAGTTTATAAAAAAAATCACAATACAATTTCTGTGATTTAAGTTTCTAGTCTTATATTCTTGGAGCAGCTGTGCACATACCGGTATTGTACGGCTCATGTGATGAAATGTATAAATAAATAGTTCTAGAATATGTGAAATCATGTCTAAATGCGACAAACCAACTTGTTTGTGAGTTGAAAAAGACAGAGTTAGTTCAAAACACATACAGTACTCGTGTTACCATAGAACTGGTTAAAAAAGTTCTTTCACTTTAAACAATAGCATATAAGCTGTAACTGTAAAGCCGTTTCTTCTTCACTTGACAGAAAAAGGCATTCGAGTGGTTGTGTAACCCAAGGTTGGAGCTGTTTTTCCTCCACAGATATATGAGGTTTATTTATGTTAGAGAGCTGCAGTAAAGATAATTGACAACCTTTTACCTTCTTCATTCCTGCCAGCTTATCTGCCCGGACTTGTTTGTCCTTTAGATACTGTAACCGACTCTAACATCTACATATGCAGTTACGTTTTCAAATGGCTCTGACATTTTCTTTGTTAGGCACTAATATGAGTATTATTGATTTATCTGGTGGGTTTGAATTGGATATAAAAAAGGTCAAACTTTAAAATGTAAATATCAAGTTTAAGGGAATCAGAATTGTTAGTTTATTAAAATGTAAAACCGCAAAGTTTGTCATTTATATCAATCTTTACTAATTGACGTTTGTGTTACCATACTTATAATCAGATGCTACAAATTATTTGTGTTTGAGTTCATTTTGTTTGCAAATACATCTCAGTAAATAATAGAAAATTATCTAGGATTCTTTTAAAGCTAAGCCGATTAGCTCGGCTACAGCTCGCAGAAAATGTTTGTTTTTTACAGGAGGGGGCCCAAAAATATGTAGGTTGAATAGAGCCTTGTTCCAACATTATTTAATTATAATGTTTTCTGATCACTAAAAGCTTCTGTGAATTCAGGAGACGACACATTTACAATCAGATCTGAAAATACATATGATGTATGGAAAGAAATAAACAATAAAACTTCAATCGAGCCAGATTTAGCTTCTGTCTGAGCTGAGTAGCTGCTTTTGTTACTATATAATCCAAGCTAAATGCAGAGTGAAAAATGTTCCAGTAACAACATCAACACTGAAGAGTTAATGTTTTAAGTGCATCACTTGAAAACATCTATGTAATAATTGGGCAAAACTGATGCATGCAAGAATTTTTGCTGACTGACACACCAATTATTTCTGCTGGATAGATAACTAAAACCATCCATCAAACTTAAATAATTGGTGGGATTCGATTTGGAAACTTTTCAGTATGATGGTTTACCACATCTAAATTAATATCTAAATTTTCTTGTCTTTCATCGAACATTTCTGCTTTAAACATACAGGATTTTCATAATGATTAATGAGAAATAAAATCGGAAAATAATATACCATGTCTGTTTACTAAACTGCTCAAACTCATGACATTTTAATTTTAAGAGTCACATGATGAAAAGCCATTTGAACACATTCCTTGCATATCTAAATATGTTATATTTTTATAGCAGTTTTTTAAATTCCCTTCTGCCAAAGTACAACATAGAAATGATCAGACAGAATCATTTGTTTTCTTATATCTAAAGCTGACCTCTTATTCCTAGATGTATGAACGCAAACACTGGGATTATTAATGTACTTGGAAGCTCCTGTTGCTCTGGTGTCACCATCAGTCCCCAAAGCACGAGCAAACCATATGAATTAGTAATATGCTCAGGAAAAAGTTGAATCTCCTTCAGTCTGTAGAAGTTTAAAGATCAGTCCAATAACTGATCATAAGACATTTGCATACGTGTGGTTTTGCTATTTTGATTTTTCTAATTAATTTTCAATGATAATTCATAGATGTAGTTTTTTTCTTTTTATCCCACTAGCTGCTTTCATAACTTTTTCAGTCTTTTAAATTTAGCAAATAGATATCGCATCATTTTTAGTCATCAGCATACAGGTAAATGTTGTTGAAGCAAAATAACTATAGAAATAGAACTTTATTGATCTCACAATGGATAAATTCACTCTCTGCATTTAATCCATCCCCTTGGGGAGCAGTGGGCTGCCATTGTGCGGTGCCTGGGGAGCAGTGTGGGGTTAAGGGTCTTGCTCAGGAACCCAGAGTGCAGGCTGTGTGGATTGGACCGTGTACTTGCAATCTTCTCAGAGCTCAAGCGCACTGCTCTAACCTATAGGCTAACACTCCCCACAACAGTAGCTACGTCATTGTTTTGTGAAAAGTTTGATCAGTTGTTAAGATGTCTTTCTCTCCATGCCTTTAAAAAACTGTCCTCCCATAGCTGCGGCTGCTGTATGAATGCAACCCCATCGCCTTCCTCATTGAGCAGGCGGGTGGCCTCGCCACCACAGGCACTCAGAGGATTCTGGAAATTCAGCCAGAATCTCTCCACCAGCGGGTGCCCTTCGTTGTCGGCTCGCCAGATGACGTCAACGAGTACCTGTCATTTGTCAAGAAGTTCTCATAAAAGCTGCAGCCGAGAAATGTGTGTGAGATAATGTTGAATGTTATGTTTTTCACTACCCCAGATATTTTGTTATCAGCTGAAAAATATTTTATTTTATTGATAATAAATAAATAAATGTCTTCTAATAGATAAACACAATAAAGACTGAATAGTAGAAATTGTGAGTTACTAAGTCCATTGTCCAATCCTAAGACCTCTAAAAATAAAAAACATGTAACTCAAAGGAAAAGGCTGGTTGTATTTTTTTTTCTCTGCCATACTGTAGGTTGAACCAAATATATTATACACACATTGTAGAAACCATGTGATCTATGACCATTCTGACAAACATCTCTGCCGTTAGAAAATAGCGGTAAAGTCAGTAACTGTTATAATAGAGACAAAATGTGTGTTTTGATTCGGCATGCTTAAGATTAGCAGGATTGTTTAAAAGATGTTTAAAAGCCTGTGTTGATTAGGCTCTCCACGAATCTATTTATGGTAGGATTCTTCAAAACAGTTTTCGACATACAGTACTGTCAGATAGTGTGTTTTCACTTAATGTCAGTTTGAAAGTGAATTAAAAGTGGTCAAAAATAACAATCATGCCATAAGTTGTTTGATAGTACTGATGTTGAGGATTTTTTCTTGTTTGCAGAAGTGAATGATGGAAACTGGAGGCAGCATAATTTGTTGGAGGATTTATTGATAATTAAAGATTACATTTACTGAACACCACACAACAAGGAGCAAGAATGGAAAAAGAGGGATTACATTGGAATGATCCACACAATAAGGCTATGTTCACACTGCAGGCCTTGTTGCCTACTCTGATTTTTTTGTGAAATCCGACTTTTTGCGTTGCCGTTCATATTTCCAAATATATGCGACTTGTATGTGATCTCCTGTGTGAACTGCAGTCATACAACGCAAGTGTCCTGCATGCACAGTAGAGGACGCAATTCAGGCCACATCACAGGCCAGCATGCTCTGTGTTTATGGAAGTAAACATGGATGGTAGTGCCAGATTGTAGTATATTGTCTGCCATGGTTGTTGTTTTTCTTGTCGCTTCTTTATAGCAAGACCCAGAACAGTGACCTTTGTTGGGTATTAACAGCGTTCAGGTCGGATGAATGCGACCTGGCCGTTCAGACACAGGTCCCATTTGAAAAGGTCAGATTCGTATCGGATTCAGGGCCACATAGCCAAGTGGCCTGGGTTGCATTGGAAATAATCGGATCAGGATAGTTCAGACAGCCATGAAAGAAATCTGATACAGGTCGCATATGGGCCAAAAAATCAGATTTGGGTCACTTCAGGCTGCAGTGTGAATGTAGCCTAAGAGTTAATGAGCATAAATGCTGAGGGACGAGTGGAGAATGACACTGAATGCAGGTGAGTTCTCAGAAGATAATGAAGAGCGAGGCTGTAGGTAAGGAGAATAATTAACACAGCTGAAATATCTAAGAGAAATAAACTAAAATAGACAGCAAAAAGAATGTAATAAAAGAATGAGAAACTAACAGGAAGGAAGTAAATTATAAACCAATGGCAAAAAACCCAAACATCAGGAAAAAGATTAAAACCAGCGACATAAAACCAAATGTCAAGCTTTTGGCCTGTTTGATAATTTTAACATATTTTACCTGAAAAATTGCTGGTTTAAATAAATTCAGTAGGAAAAAAAAATTAAAACCCAGATTAGAGCTATTCCAGCTATAAAAGCAGCATTGAGAAAAACTATGATCAGCAAAGAAAGCACACTCTTGTGTTTAAACCCAGCTAGCACCTCATGCTGGCATGTCCTCGCACCAAACGTATGCTTCTCAAAATAAAATGCTACCGAATGTACAGGTGATAGAAGCGCATAACTCAAACTCAGGCTCTCACCGTTTTACCTAAAATACATCCAATGTCTTACTGAAGCCTGTAGCTGTAGAGAAATCAAACCAAACAGCCTTCTAATTTACAAGCTGTGATTACTGAGCTGCTGCCACATTTTATTGTAAGAAGAATAGTTTAAGATGTTTTAAGCCCCATGACTATGCTTATCTATACAGTATTTGCATAAAAGCCTATTTTCACTGGTCATAAAACTTTGGAAATGCTCATATTAACGCAGAAGTCAGGATAAAGCTGATTTCCATTTCTCCACTGCATGATATTGGAGTAAAACATCTCAGACCAGAGGATAGCTGGCATGGGATGCAATGCCACAGTTGTTCTTTCTGTCTTTAGCCATGTAGATGTAGCCATTGTTTCCCCACCCTGAGCCCCAGCTGTCAAAAAAACAAAATCTAGATCAGATCTGACTTAAAAAAAGAAGAAAATAAACAGTATAAGTTGGTTCTATTTAAATATGTTTAAACTAAACTTGAAATATTTCTGGACTTTAAACTGTATTGATTTGAAAAATAAAAATAAATAAATTCATAAAAGTAAAACAATAAAAAGATTGTAAAAATACTTAAAAAACTACTATTAAATAACAACATTGAGGTAATTACATTAGGTAGCTGATATTAAATTCTGAACTCTTAAATAAAATAACAACTGAACATTAGAAAATGATAATATCATAAAAATCCAGCAAAATCAATGACATCTAAGATCTTACCTGTTTTTGACAATCCAGTAGTTTTCAACAGAATCACGGGTTTTTTGGAAACCATAACCAACAACCACCACACCATGGTTATGCTTGGAGGTGCTGCAAAGCTTTTCATAGTAGACGCCTAAAACACAAACAATAATATGGGATATTCAAAGGTTTTAATGCAGTTCTAATTGTGCTGCCACTGAAAAGACTCAGGCTGAGCTGAAAATTATGTTAATTTCTTATATATCTATATTATACATTCTCAATCACAGGTTTATTTATTTTTTTGCATGTCTGAGTACTGATTGACTTGTACCTATTAAGAAACCCTTTTAACATAACCCACCTGACAAGACGAAGTAGGCAAAAACTGTATTTGATATGCCTTTCATTTTGAAAAGAAGACTAAGACATTGTTTTAAAGACTCAGTGGCTGTTATTGCAAATACTTGATGGTCTTTGTGGCCTAGAGTGAGACAGCCCACTGTCATGTTGAGGGACTATACCATAATCAAAGCAATTTATCATTAGGGAACTGATTTTCAATGTACTTGTAAAAAAATTTTTTTGACGATCTGAAACATTTCAGAGTAACAAAAGACGGAGACAGAATGAATCACTTATGAGGCAGATGACATTTTATTTAAAGACTAACCTGATTGGTAAAACTGAAAAGAAGACTGACTAGCATCAATGGTAACAGAAACTGGCCCAACAGCAGCCACGGCCTCCATCAGGGATCGTTCACTGCCTCTGGAAATATCAATAATCCCTGTGACGTTGACAGAGTTGTACCTGGGGTCATACTGGCAGATCTGGTCCTTAAAACCCATGAAAAACAAAGGAGATCCAGATGGTACTGTTAAAAAAATATGTTAAACTGACATAGAAATACATACAAATGAATAATTTCCAATTCTATTTGACTCTGCATTTGTGTGAACATTCGCAGGATATTCCTCTAGTTTTTTTTCAGCTGAAAAGACACGTACTTTACCAACATACGGGTAGGATTCCTCTGAGTCTAGACCCCCATTGGACTTAACATACTGGAAAGCCATGTCCATCCAACCACCATCACAGCCCCTGTTGCCTTGGGGTCTGGAGCAGTCCATCAGGTTCTGCTCACTCAGTGACACAAGTCGACCTGTTTTCCTGAACTGTTGGCCCTCCAGAGACCCAATGGCACCAAAAGCCCAACAGGAGCCACAGTGACCCTGAAGGGGAGAAGAGGAGCTTTTTAAGGCAAAAGAGACATACAGAGACAGTTAGCTGAGATTAATGCAATCTGATAACATGAGGTGAAACAACATAACATAACAGCTTTTATGAAGGTGAAGCAGACAAAATGCTCTAACAAATCTCTTTTTACGGCTGCTTTTCTAATCTAAAGTAAGGTAAAAAAACATCCTGTTTTTAAATGTCCCCAATAGCTGCAGATCTGTTTCTATAGACATAATAAAGAGTAGACTCTGCTTTGGCTTCTGCAATACATGAAATATGGCTGCCATCTTGGAGCTGTCCCTGTAACTACTTGGCTAAATCAAAACAGTGGAAGATGCTACAGCATTGTGCATGTTTTTGTTAAAACCAATGGGCTATTCACATAAAGGTTTATTAGATATCTTTTTAGAGAACATATAAACACACCATAGTATGTATGTTCTTATTAGTATATCACTTTATTTATGTACACTAGCAAATTGCCAGCTAATGTTATGTTATATATAATATTTGGTGCAGGTTTTCAACCTGCAATTAACACTATCTTTAAAAAAAGAGTGTTGTTCAATGAGTCTCAGCTCATTTAAAACATTTATTAGCTTTTGTTAGTTTGTTATACAAATAGTTGGTTATTTGAATAGTACATGCATGCATACATGCATACATGTGTAGTAGGCTGTGTGCTTTGCCTAAAACATATAAATCATGTAAGAATTTTCTTAGTGTTCCATTAAGGATATTTAAAAGCACTGAGCGTCTTTATACACATAGCTATGATTGGTGTATTTAGAAGGATTGCAGCACAAAAAGTTTGAAAAGTTTATTGTTCGGCCAGTTATGATTGATTAAAAGTTTTGATACTTCATTGAGCATCCCATAAAAATGACTCTTCTTGAGTGAGTGGCCTTCCTGAGTTTCCATTCATATGGAGTTGTCTACTCTTTGTATACGTCTGTGTGCTGGACCTTATAACAAGTTCAGTCCTATGAACTTTCTATCTTATTTCTGCAGAGGTCTCAAGTAACAAAGTACAAATACTTTGTTACTGTACTTAAGTACACTTTTTTGGTATCTATACTTTACTCCATTACTTATTTTCTTCCTACTTCTGACTTCTACTCATTAAATTTTCACACAAGTATCTGTATTTTCTATTCTTTACATTTTTAAAACAAATGTTAGTCATTACTCTTGGCTTTGGTTTAACTTTTATAAATATTTATTTCACGTCATGTGCGCCATCCAATGCAGATCATTGGCGGCATCCACATCTAGTGAAAACTAGTGGAATTGGATGAGTCATATAATGCAAACACTCATTGGTTAGCTAAAGGAAATCATCAGAAGCAAGCAGATGTTCTTCAAACTGCAAACAGGAATTGTCTATGCCATGCTACAATGTTGGATTCATAAAAAGATGTTGAATGTCTGAAACGTCGGACACAGGCGAAAGCGTATCGGCAGATGGTGACGGAGACCAACCAGACCTCCCTCATCCTTGGCCCTATCTCAAAGAATTTTTCGAAATGGTCGAAAAATTTAGCTTTCAATGGTTACTTTATACTTTTATACTTTAAGTAGTTTTTGGAGCACATACTTTTTCACTTTTACTTGAGTAAAGAGGTCGAGTTTATACTTCAACTTTTAACAGAGTGTTTTTAAAATGTAGTATCTATACTTCTACTTAAGTAACAAATGTATGAACCTTTGACATCACTGCATTTATGTAGCTTTGCATTCACAGCATAGAGGCTGTATGTCTGTACTTGTAGCTTCAAAATAAATCTGGAGTCACATGAAAATTGCAACTATTGATAAAAATTTCAGTTTTTTTATTAAGATGGAGACTTCTGTAACTGTAAAATATGGAGGAACCACACCAGTGCATTTCAGGGTACTGTCTTCATTATGACAGTAATAAGGTCACAAGCTTGAATGCCTCCCTCCATGTCATGTCTCTCTCCATGCATTTTGGCGGTATGTGAAATCATGCCAGAAACAACACTCGCTGAGAGAAAGTCTCTCTCTGATTACCTGATTTTTGACATGAGTGACGTAGCCTTTTTCCCTCCAGTCCACAGCATTAGGGACTTCCAGGAAGTTGGGCTTCACAAATAGAGACTTCTTAAGCTTTCCCTCAGTTTGGGGTTGGTAGCTATTCATGACCTGAACAAACTCTTCATTGGTCTGAAGAAAGAAGGTTCACAGAAGAAAAAAGGTTATTTTCAGCCCCTTTTGTTGTGTTTCCAACATCTTGCTTTGTGGCCTCTTCTTCCATTATCTTTTTAACTTTTAGTTATTTCTAAAGGTATCCACCATAATTTTAGAAATGTACAAAAAGACATAATTTCTTTACTTTATGTTTAACACATTACGATATAAATCTATTTAACGAGCTGATGGCCACATGCTACAGCCTGCTGGATATGTTATATCAGTACATAACATGGTACATACCAAGATGGTCATCTGGTGGGTAAATTATGTTCTGTTTACATGTAGAACTAACATTTGGGCCCAAAGAGAGAGTTTCACATATAGAGCAGTGGTATTAGAGGGCATTTCCCGGAAAGTCTAGAGCAGGGGTGTCAAAGTGGTTCCAGAAAGGGCCGTGTGGCTGCTGGTTTTCTTTCCACCCAAGCAGTAGCACACCAGACTCCATTCATCCCATCAAGTCATCAGGTTAAGACTAGACTCACCTTGATGAGATGAATTGAGTCTGGTGTGCAACTGCTTGGGTGGAAAGAAAACCAGCAGCCACACGGCCCTTTCTGGAACCACTTTGACACCTGTGGTCCAGAGGGTAGTGTCAACAGTAGGCGTAGGTCAACAGACCCAACTTTTACTTGACAGGATTTGAAAGAACTAACTTTATGTGTTTGATGCAGTGTTCCTTTCTCAACTGTAAAGTTGTGGTTTGGAATCCGGCTCTAAAACCTGTCACATGGTGCTGTTCTCTTGTCGGTGAACTGCCAGTTATCTGGATGACATATTTTGGTGAACTTCCAACTATACCTCCGACAAACTGTGTAACCTATCCTTAATCATACCACTTCTGATCGTCACTAAGCTCCATCGTATATAACACCCTTCAGAGTGCCACCTATACGCATGCAAAACAACACCATCGTCAAAGTATGCATCCAAAGCCAGGTCAGGCTATGTCACCTGTGAACCACATTACCATGACCCCCTTTAAACTGTCCCCCATAACCAGTTCAAAATATTTCACCTATACCACTGTCATGTATGTGTCTCATGTTTTTTTTGGCGTATGCAGTTTTAAGTAAATGATCATCTCTAAATGTTGATTCTTCTTTTCTCACCATGTCTCCAAATTGGTTCATGCCCTGGCGGTGGCTGTGTTTCCCCATGGAGTGCTCCAGGTTGTGGAACTGAATCTTCTTCAAGTTCTTCTCCCACACCATTCGCCTAAAGATCTCATCCTTCTGATCAAAAATGTAAACATTCTGAACGTTATTAGTAAGCTTTTTACTAAAATACATACATTAAGAGGATTCTTTTTTAGTTGTTTTTTTGCAACTATTCAACACATATACAATGAAATTTGTTTTTGTTTAAGTATTAATGTAACTTTAAACATAGCTGTAAGCCTAACCACTAATTGTAGCCAAAAATTTACTTTCAAAAGTAAAAATCTTTTTTTGACTTCTTTTTGTGATGATTACATCTGTTCAAACATCAGGGTAAACTGAGTAAATACAGAATGCAGCTTTTAAAAGTTTTAAGCCAAACTAAAATAACTTCATAAGCAGATAATAATTTACAGATAATAAGATATATATATATATATATATATGTATATATATGTATATATATATATATATATATATATATATATAATTTATTTTATTTCTTTGTTTGTTCAAAGACATTTTGATAAGGATAAAAAAGTCAAACAAAAAGCAAAGAACAGATATAAATATTTAATCTGTTAATAACTACTTTTGCTTTAGTCAGGTGGATTTTACCATTTAACATAAAAAGCAGGTTGTATTTGAGTTGTTTTACAGTGCATTCACTGCTTTAGAAAGAAGTTACAAAAGCGAAGAACTACACCTGATCATAGGTTTTATTGTAAATGCTCTTCCACAGCTCCCAGTGCTCATCCAGCTGTGGGTTCCAACTGCTGACTGGGAGGACTGCACTCATACACATCACCACAACTACAGCCTGCATTGCTGTAGATTCCTATTCCTAAAACAAGAGCAGGCAACATGTCAGGGCTTACATTTCAAAATATTTAGATACGTGCAGGCAAGGAGCTCGCATATGATAGCCTCAGATTGAGTACAGAAAGGTATGAATGCAATCCTTTATGTTCTGTTTCTCAACCATGAGGGCTGCCATAGTTTCTATATCTGGTGTAGTCCTGCCAGGTAGCAAGAAAGCAAGAAAACAAGGCGATCATTTCTATATGTATTTTGACGGAACTGAAACATAAGTTAGACAGACGGTTAAAATAAACCCTTGATCCTTTGTAGGAGTTTTATACAGGTATGATATCAAAAGAACATTATTGCTGATTGACTGAACAAAGAAATTGTGACTGCAGAACACCCAGAGCGCACAAAGTTTTTCAGCATTTGTAAGCAATGTTAAACGCTGCCTTTGTACAGAACTGAAATAAATGAAAGTCTTCTGTTTTTACTCACAAATGTCTAAACAACAAACTCCAAATTAAATGAATAATAAGATTTATTTATAAAGGTGTGCTATTCCACTTGCTGTATGAGAAGAACTGAACTTGATTAAATTTTTCTCACTTACGTTAAGAAGTTTGGTTATCTTAGGCACTCAATAAAAAAAAAATAGATCTGTTATAGACCCAATTTAAAGCTTTGCTTAGTTCTGTGAATGTATAAATTGAATAGAATTTTTTTTTTTCCCGATACTAGTAAACAAAAAACCCAAACATATTATTCTGGTTAAATAACTAACAACTAGTATTCAATAAAAAAAAAAAAAAAAACATCAAATTTTTAAAACTCACTTTATGGTCTGTTTCCGAAGAAGTAAAGCAGCAGATGTAATCCCCTGTCTGTCCTTTGAAAGAAATGTCTTATATGACGGCTGTGGCTGCATAGACTGTAAGGTCTGGAGCTTTCTGATGGGTCAGCTTTTTGGATGGACTCAGGTGATTTGATATCATCATGAAATAATGTCATCCTCTCCCATAAAAGGGGCTGAAAAAGGAGATTTTTTTTTTTTTTTTTATTGAAAGACTTTAGGGATGTTTGTAGCATCTTCCTGCATCTATTTAAGACATCAGGACTGAAACAGAGCAGAGCAATATACACACATAGTCATGGATATGTGACCCATATGTGAATGTCTGGCAAACATGCTTTGCCTTATGTTGGTACTTTTTGAAAATACTGTCACTTTATTTGATGTCATGTAAAAAATTATTTGAAAAAGAAACAAATCACACCCCTTGGCCTTCTTTACACCTTTATGAGACATACCAATGCAATTTAGGGCATGATTGTGAAAAGGAATAAAGGTTTTTGAAGGTCTAAACGAGAAACAAGAAAAACACATGAAGTTGTCTGTTAAACTGCATGAAGAAGTCCTTTTTAAAGTTACCAGCTTGAGCGACATCTCTTATTATTATTTGTGGGTTTTTTCCATTCTGTTCAATATTTTAAATGTCTTTTAACGCATATAAAGTTAAAAAAATTGTTTGCTGGTGGTAAAAAGAGCCATAATCTAATTTCTGTACTTGTAAAAATGTGAGGCCAAGGCTTGTATGACCGCAGTACAACATTTTAAGAAGCTTTATGGTCTTAAAAAAACGATGATAGGACCATTTACTCTACTGGTTAAAAGAGAGAAACTGAAAAGAAACTGATGCGCTATTTAAACCCACTGGAATCATATTACTTTATGATGGTGTCCATTGCACACAACTGTATTAATAAAAACAATAAATCAATAAGAAACATCAGTCTGTTTAAATTTTGATTTAAAACTTTAATTGGTTATAGTAAAAATAGGAACAAATCATTGAAAAAAAAATCATGCTTATATTTATTAAATGACAAATCGAACAATGGAAATAAAAAAAAACAGCAGGGATAAAATAATAATAATATAAACCCAACTGCTTTTAGAAACCAAGCTTTAAGCTACTCTTGATTATACAGGTATATAACTTTCATTCTTCTTTTTTCCCTGAGGCCAGGAACAATCTAAGGAGCTGCTGAATTATGGGTAAATAGTGCGGCTTCTTCAATGTCAAGATGCTTTTTCAAACCCGTGGGTAACTTGCTGCTGTGGCGATTCCACAGTTGTTGTATCTGTCTTTAGCCATGTAGATATAGCCGTTGTTTCCCCAGCCTACCCCCCAGCTGCAACGAGACAAATCCACAGAATGAAAAACTTTTGTTCCTGCTCTCCATCTGTCTTTCAGGGAAGATCACTTTACATCACAGTTTTAACATTTAAATAACAAAAAACAGGAAAAATGTGCTGTTGAAAACTTTTTAGAAAACAAAAATTGTTGTTTCAGGAGAAATATTAGAATTTGTAAATTAAGTAGACATGAACATTACGCGGAAAATAGAACAAATGTGGTTATCAAGGTGTACTCTCCCTTTCACTCAACCATTCATCCCTTCTTTTCATTTCCCTTATCCCTAGTTCATTTCTTAATTATTCATTAGTAGCTTCCCTTCTTTTATTCTAATCTAATCCTTTGTCTCTCTTACCTAAAGTCTTTCCTTATCCTTACCTTTGGCCTCCTTATCTCTACCATCCTCATTCTTTCTACTCTCCTCCCTCATCTCTGCTAACCTTTTAGGTCAATATTTAAACAATATTGTTTATTTATTATTCGTTATCCCTTCATTCCTCATCCTTACCTTCCTCAATGAACATGTTTTATCCTTAATGAAACATCTATTACACCATTACTACTTATTGCCTCCTTCATCTCTCATCTCTACAACTCATCTGCTTTTGCCTCTTTCCTCATATATCATCAGCAAGCTTTGTATTTGGAAATTGATGAGTCAGAACCCCCATTGATAAGTCATGCGTCATAATATCCATAATAAAGGGGAAAAAAAGAGGCTATCAAATGTGTTACTTTTCCTTTTATTTTACCTGTTTTTGACAATCCAGTAGTTTTGATCACTGAAGAAAGTTTCTTGTGTGTCATAACCGACCACCAGCACACCGTGGTTCAGCCTCTGGCTGCTGCAGTCTTCTTCATAGTAGATGCCTAAAACACATCCAATCATTTTATTCTGGAAACAAAATGAAAGAAATACCTTTTTAATAGTTTTAGTTTACCACCTACCTGACTGGTAAAACTGGAAAGAAAAGTGACCGGCATCAATAGCAACAGAAATTGGTCCCACAGAGGCCACTGCGTTCATCAGAGCTGACTCACTCCCACTGGGAATGTCTGTATATCCTGTGAGGTTGATGGAGTTGTAACTTGGATTATAGCGGCAGGGCATGTCCTAAAAGCACATTGCAGGTGAGTTGTGTTAAAATTTTCAATCAAAGGCAGTTTTGCATCCTTTAGACTTTGACTTCTCTAACTCTTAAGATACGTACAATTCCCATGTATGGGTAGGATGCTTCAGAGTCCAGACCCCGGTTGTCTATAACGTACTGAAAGGCACTGTCCATCCAACCACCATCGCAGCCATAGTTCCCCTCTGCTCCAGAACAGTCCACTAGGTTCTGCTCACTCAGCGATACTAGTTTACCAGTCTTTCTGTAGAGCTGGCCCTCCATTGCCCCTGTGGCACTAAAGGCCCAGCAGGAGCCACAATTACCCTAAAGACAACAAAGATAAGGACAAACACAAAGTAGTGCATCATTTTAAAGTGGAAGAAAAGATAATAGGGTTTGCAAAATTTTTCCAAACAGAAAACTGACAAGTGACGCCTGGATTTATATTCAGCCATTCTGACTCGACACATTGCTGAAAATCTTTAGATGCTATTGAAGCGACATGGAGATGATTGGCAGAAGGATATAAAACATCAATAACCTTTTCTTTTGCAAAACAGCTCATGCTTTTTCACAGCATGTAGAGCATCTTGTCAAGGAGACAACATTTATCACTGGTATAGACATGTTGGTATAGGTATAATGTGTGATCTAGTTTTGGCTGTGGCAGCTGTCTTTGATAGTTTCCACTGTCCTCCTCGATATTATTTTAACAAAACCTTAAGCTCAAGACCTGCTAAATAGAATACTTTCAGACTCTAATAAAGACCCACTAATATTTATGATCTCTTGATCCTGTTCATATCATTTTAACCAAGCCTGTACATTTTGTTTACTTCATCTTGGTCTCTTTTAGAACAGGATGAACTGGTTTCAGTGATGGTATATACGTTAAAGGGGGAGGGAGAAAGCAATACACTGTGACGGTCCAGGATGGATTTTAATGATAAACAAATGAAAAACAAAATGACTGCTTTAAATAGGTTTTTAACCAATGTGGAAAAAAATAGGCTTTGTTTCTGCCAGACTGACTTTAGACAAAATTCATCAGATGAAATAAATCAAAAATCTTTTTACCTGGTCTTTAATAGGTGTAACATAGCCCTCCTTTCTCCAGTCCACAGCAGCAGGAGCTTTCATAAAGCTGGGCTTCAGGAAAAAGGACCCATTTACTTTGTTTCCTGCTTTGGGTTTGTAGCCGTTCATCATCTTCCTAAACTCCTCGTTAGTCTGTGAGCAAAACATTTAATCAAAGCAGTTTATCAGGTCTCTTTCACACTTATTATCTTTAGATGAACAAACAAATAGACTGTATTCTGGAGATCCTCAAGGATTTGTGTTTGGATCCCTAATTTTATGACTTTTTCAATGGATGATTGTTTTGAGGCGGATGTTGCAAAGTTTTTCCTTGTTGTTCAGATTTGTATCATAGTCCTGTTTCATAATAAATTTCCAGAACGTCAGTTTTTATTCAAATTTTTTGAGGAATGTCCAGTTGACTGATTTTGTTCATACAGAAGTATAAATGGTATGATTTGTTTTAACGGAGCTATGAGATTAATCTTGTTATAATTGTCATATTAAAAATGTTACCTCACCATGTCTCCAAAGTGATTCATCCCCAGGGTGTAGGTGTGTTTGCCCATGGAGGACTCCAGGTTGTGCAGAGTGATCATCTTCAGGTTCTTCTCCCACACCATCCGCCTGTAACCTTCATCTTTCTGCATAAAAGTAAAAAAAAATGTTCTAAACTGTGGTTTTTAATCAACAATATACTCTCTGTCTCATGTTTCCATGAAGACCTACATGCAGTTAGGGACTTGTTAAACAATGTGTATATGCTACAAAAAAAAAAAGATCATTAGATTAGAAAGTAGTTGAATCTATTTTCTTCCTTGAAATGAAATTTAACTGCACGAGACCTAAACCATGAATCTCTCCTCTTAATTAAAAGTTTTAATAATAGAAAGTAATAGGCTATAAAATAACACACAAGTGTACACAAGTGACATATGTTTGTCGGAATTGCATGATTATATTTTCTTTTTTTATTTGTTTATACATATTTTCTTCAGAAAAACAGCTTTCTTAAATTATTTTTAATTAGCAAAGTAATTAAGGTATGCATTTTTTTATACTAAGATCCATAATTTTCCATACTCTCCAGTTTTGGAAAACAAAGCCTTTCTGGGTTAAACCTGTTCTTAGATGTCAATAAATTAAACAGAGCATCACCTCATTGTAGACTTTATGGTGGTGGTTCTTCCAGAGCTCCCACTCCTGATCCAGCATTGGGTCCTGACTCTGGCTCGACAAGACTGCACCCATACACAGCAACAAAACATGCAGAGACAGCATTGTTGCAGCTTCCTTAGGGAAAGATAATATAAATACAATTAAAACATCTTCTGGCACCAGTTTAGCAGCTGTTATAGCTAATGCAACGATCCCTATAGTTTAAATGACCGAAGCAGTTTCCAATTATTTACAAAAATGTATGAACAAAACGAAATAGGTCTTCTCAGTGTAACAGGCACATTATTTAACAACAGCACATTTTACCACGTATTAAAAATACAAATTAATAT